GATCAAAAAATGCAACTACAACTTAGCACTATAGACCTCAGCAGTAACTTGTTTCTCACTGAGAGTAAATTTCCAACTAGAATTCAACCTCTTCTGAGATCAATCAGCCAATAAATCAAAAGGCATACTTAAATCTTATCTTAACAATTTAACTTAGATGTAAAGGAACTTTTAAAATAGGACGTTGCTCCCAGAAAACTTCAATGCAAGGGATATCATATACTTAAAAAAACATTTAAGCAGTATGATATGACAGCATAGGAAAGGGCTAGAAGGTAGACCTCCGTTGAACAAACACATTAATATCTCTATCTCTGCCATTCCCACGAGATGAAACATCAATAACTGCTTGCAACAATGAGTCTACAGCAGCCTGCAAACATTTCCTGTAAGATTTCAGTGAATGGAAAATATGTATCTCACAGGAATTTTGGACTATGGCGAGCACAACAGCAGTGAGTGTGTTGAAGATATCGTATAATTAAGAAACATTGACTCAAAGCAAGTTCAGTTATGGTGCTTGGCTCTAAGCTGGTTATAAGTAGCAGCATCTTAACATGTGATTAAACAAAGAACATTCCAAGAGACATTTATGTTTCGTTTCAGGTACACTATAAACCTAATCTTTACCTTTTTCATGGCTTTAATATTGTGTTGATATAGTAAAAAATCAGAATGACGAGATAACAATGACTGCAAATGTTCTGTTTCTTCATGTGAATACTGAATAGGGGCAAATGTAACTCTGCAGAATGTTCACTACTGTACCTGGTAAGACAGTGATTTTATCCAAGCATTGTTCTCAACACCCAGCCATGTCTTTGGAAACCACGAGCTCTTTGACGATTTGCTGTGCTCTATGAAAGCCAACTCAATAGATCTTGCAGCATCATGTACTGACTGGACGAGTCCATTGCTGATATCTTCACTCTGCAATGCTTTATTCAATTTCAACCTTATTTCATCAATGTTGCTTGTTGAACCAACTTGCGGAGCTCCATTAACAGATACATGGTTGCCATCATCGTCAGAAGCCAACGGAATAATGTGAACCATCCTTCTAGTTCTCTGGAAGAGTCCCTTGTGTCTCCGAAACTCCAACCATCTAGCACTGTGGATGGTCCTATCACACTCCGACGGTGAGTTCCTCAAGTAGCACTTCCTCTTTGAAATGCGGGAATGGAATTTGTAGCTCTTTACATCAACAATGCTTCTACATACGAATCTGAAACCATATACTTTCTCCAGAGTATGAACCTTCGATGTGCTGCAAACACAAACCGTTTGAACCATCAATACATCAAATCTGAAAAAAAAAATGCACTAGAATTCAGCTATACCAAGATCAGAAACTCTTAATATCAATATCTATATCTATCAGCCTGTTCGGGAGGCCGTAAACGATCGTGGATTATTTACTGCTGGCTGGTTTGGTGTGAGAGAAAAACACTGTTCCTGGCTGGAAATTTACGATCGTTTACGAGCAAGCAAACAGGCTGTATAATTATATCTATGTTCTATATTTCTATATATCTTATTGTCGGTGTTTCAAGTTACCACCGACGAGTAAATTTCTAGTATTGCGCGTCTGGCTCGGATGATGTGCTTAGAGGACACGAGGTTTATACATGTTCGGGCAGAAAGTCCCTACATCCAGTTCGTCGCTGCTGCTCGTGTTACTAGCACTGAAAATTTGTAGTATGGGTTACAAACGGACGAGAGAGGGAAAGGATCCCAAGTCTCTGGTGGGAGGAGTGAGTGGGTGCTGAGAGCTCGATCGCTACTCAGTCGTGTGTTCGTGTCGTGCTTTTGTGCGGATCTCGATGGGTCGATCGATCGGGTTCCCTTCATGGGACGTCCTGCTTTCCCTTTTATAAGCCAAGGGAAAGCATGGGCTACGGCGGAGGAAAAGAGAAGAACGAGAGACAGAAGAAGGCTGTCAGGACCGCCGGGTCCTTCTCCTTCATGCGGGTCCTGCCGATCCTGTAGACGTCAACAGGGACGGCTCCATATCGCGGCCCTGTTCGTCACTGACGCCATGCGCAGGCATCGTCTGCCGGTCATGGCGTCCCATTCCGTCCCGGTGGGCGTCGTGGTGAACTGACGCGCTTGTCAGTGTCGTACGAGGGTTAGGCAAAACAGCATCGGCACGCCCGACGCTGTTCTTGATGTGAATCCTCAGGTATGGTCCGTCATGGCCACGGGTTACATCGGAGCGTGCCGGTCTCTTGGTGTTAGAGTTTTGACCCAGGCCCATACGCTTGGACCTGGAGTGGTTGGCGGCGGTATGGGTCCCCGTCGGGCGAGGCAGAGCCCGCACCCAAGGGGTTAGGCGAGACGGAGACCACGGCCTCGGGATTTGGTGAGGTGGAGCCCGCCCCCAGAGGTCGGGCAAGACGGAGACCGCGTCCTCGGGGTCGGGTGAGGCGGAGCCCGCACCCAAGGGGTCGGGCGAGACGGAGATCGCGACCTTGAGGTCGGGCGAGGCGAAGCCCGCCCCAGAGGTCGGTCGAGGCGGAGCCTGCGCACCTGGGGTCGGTTGGAGCTGTAGTCGCGCTCTTGACTGCTCGGATGAATCAATGTTGATGATCATTAGCTCCTCTTCGGGTTCACTAGTATTGGTCCCCGGCACTTATAATCATAAACCTCACTAGAATTCCATCTCAACATGCAAGTCATCCATATCAGCAACTCACTAGAGCATGCAATTATGGCCCTATCTCTTCATGCAAGCTATCTACGTCAGCAAGCTACATCATCCATTAACATTTATTTGTTCACATCAGCAATATCATAATATCCACTAAAATTCATTCGCGATTCCTGCAGCGATGCACAGGCTATCTTCTAGTATCATCAATTGATGATCGCAGGACTCCCATCGACTAGCCCAATAAATCAATGTCAAAGGCAAGCTGCTATTTAAGACAGAGACAGCAGTCCCTAATTACAAGTGAGAGCAAATCCGATAGGATATATATCAAGTCACGTCACTCGGAGATTATAATCTCACTGAATCAGACAGAAATCTAGCAGAGCATCTGAAATTGCCAAGCCCCCCAAGTCCGTTTCAAGGTACTCCCCGTCTGGAAGCTCTGGTGTCTGAGACCACCGAAATGCTACATTCACAGAGTTCCTCCAGCCGCGCCGCGCCGATGCATGCGCGCAATTCTACGACCAATTGAATCAACCCCACGACTACAACCAACACATTCGTCCAGTCCATCCTCTCACGAGCGAACGGCTAAACACCCGAATCGTGGCGCCGAACAACAGCGTAAGCGGGAGCGTAGCGGAGCCACGAACCTGGCCGTGCACCTGGGCTCTCCGCCGGCGCCGAGGGGGAGGTGGCGCGGCTGCGACGCCACGGCGGTCGCCATCGGTTGGGGGGCGGCAGCTGCTGCTCCTGCACGCTTGTCGCCGGCGGCGGCGCGGGGCGCTTCACGACAAGGCGGGGACCGGAGAGGGATAGGGTTTATATGGTGACGGGGAGGTGAGCTAGCGGTCGAGAGGAGTGCGAGGACGAGGAGGAAGAGCAGGAGGCCACACCGCCAGGAGAACGGACGGGGGAGAGGAGAGGAGGCGAGAGGGCCCCGGAAACGATAGGCGCTGGACGCGGCCACCGGTGCCTTTGCCGCCTTGCCGGGACGCTTCGCTGCTTCACGTTCACGGGGCGACCAACCAACCAACCAGACCGTTTCCTTTTTCTTTTTTCTCTTTTTCTCTTTCTTTTCTGTTGTTTTGGCCTTGCCGTCCGACCATCCCCTGTTGCATAGACCACCCGCAGTGGATGACTCATAGCATTTCCTGTATCTCGCTAAGGGCACCCGCAACAGATAACTCATAACTTAACTCTAAGTATGTTTTCATATTTTAATGAAAGAGAGAGAGAAACAAGCTCTTAATCAATAGCTAAGCTCATAACATATTTTAAGATTACGTGAAAGTCAGAGAGTGTTATACGAGGTCATCTATGTTATGAGTTATATGCTATAAGTTAGCACTATTGAAGAAGTAGGTTTAGAGCCAGTAACTAGCTTATACTGTTGCGGGTGCCCTATTAGTACCTGTGGATGCAAGTGTGGTCTTCTACCCGACTTTGAGCCGATCATCTTCTTCGGCAATCTAATCTGACATGACATTGCTAATGAGCTCATTTGACGATTACTAAAGCTCCAGTTGTAGAACAATCTTATCGTAGCATCCTTTCATCAGTAGGATAACGTATGGTCCAGATAGAGTTCGTAGTTTGAGTGACTGTATTATTGTGCTGGAGTGTGTCACTTGGTCTCGATTCTATGGCTGGCGTGAGAGCACGTGCCCTTTGTGCGTGTGGCAGCCTGTGACCGTGTGCGTTCGCGTTCGTTTTTATGTGTGAACTGCGAAGCAAAGCTCTGTTTCTCAACGTACTCCGAATTCTGTTCCATGTGTCAGCACTTTGGCACTCTCAAATACTGAAACTGGAACAATGCGTTATATATATTATGCAAATAATGCAATCACATCCGATCCTCGTCAGTCACCACAAATACCTCGTTTATATATATATACAAAATAAATAAGCTATAAGGTGTCTAGTTCTTTGAAAGTAAAGCTTAGAGTTCACTTATGGCAAGCAGTCAATCTGCCCTCCGGATGTAATGCAGAAGATATAACAAAAAATGCTCACACACAATGCTGTTTAGGCATCCAACATATCATTTCGGCAGGACACAACACAACATAGTACAGTAGTACATCACGCCACCACTGACACAATTGTCCTTCAGCTAAATCTGTCACTGGTCCCAAAGTAAAGCATCAAACTGTCGAAGAGAGCCTAACCTCTGCTTTTCATGAGAATATTAGACCCGAACTCGTTAGACCGTTCCGGCATCAGCATCAACCATGCTAACTGAACGTATGGCCAAAACGCAGCATCAGAAATAATAAAAAAAAAGGGCAGTTGCAATGGAATCGACAATTCTATTTACTGCCAGAAGAAACGCAGAGTTAAGCACTCAAGCTTCTGGAGTTTGATCTTGCACGCCGGCACTGTCATTCTGATCCTGCTCCTCTCTCTCGCCAGCACTAGAGCGGCTTCCATAAACATGCCCCATCTTCAATCGCTTTGTTTCCATGTAGCGCCTATTCTCATTGGTTATCGGTGTCAGCAATGGCACTCTGCCAAGGACACTTAAACCATAACCCTTGAGTCCTGTGTACTTCGCAGGGTTGTTAGTCATCAACCGCATGGTCCTGACACCAAGATCGTGCAATATCTGCAGAGAACAGAGACTAATCAGCTCCACAAGAAACCATCTGAAAACACTTCAAATGAAAGTGATCTTTACGACTTTACCTGTGCACCTATACTGTACTCCCACGAGTCAGCAGGCAGCCCTAGCTCCAAGTTAGCCTCGACAGTATCCCGCCCATCATCTTGTAAAGGCCTGTTTGGTTCACCTAGTAGCTCCTAAATTTAGTAGCTTTTAGTCGCTTTAGTAATTTTTTTACCAAACACTATGACTAAATGTGACTAAAAGAGCTTTAGTCCTCTCTAGTAACTCTGGAGTTACTAAAAGTGACTAAACCATTTAGTAGCTCCTAAAGTTTAGTAGCCCAAACCAAACACCCCCTAAGTTGTATGCTCGAAGCTTGTGACCCAGCCCAATACCCCTACCCTCATGGCCACGAAGATAAACTACTACACCCCGGCCAGTTTTCTCAATCATGGTCATTGCCAGAGCAAGTTGATTCCCACAATCGCATCTCGCTGATCCAAATATGTCCCCAGTTAGGCACTCCGAATGCAGAATGCACTCGTACTATGATATCCTGGCCATCCCCAACATCACCCTGCATGAGTGAAAAGAATCATTCTAAAATTCCAAACATATTGCTGGGGGTGGGGGGAAGATTAGGCCATGTTCATCATTTAGACAATCACTAAATTCCAAAAAAAAGGAGATGTTTTTGGTTGTCTGCAAGCAAACCATATCCGGGATACCACCGCAAGATAAAAAAAAATCAGATCTTTTACTCATCCAATCTAACGGATGTATGTAGCTGGCAAAATGTCTTGTCATAATGTGGTGCATTAGTCGCAAAAAAAAATGTGGTGCATTTGGGAGCAACATTTTTACGCCCTTCAGCCCATAGCATGTGATTTTACCTTTCTACATCATGCAATGAGGTTCTTGTTTTTCAAAGTTCCTAAACTGCCCATGAAACATTCAAACTTTTTGAACCTGATGTTTGAAGTGGTAGCCATTATTCTACTGAACATAATATTTACTATAGCCATCCTTCTGCTGAACATAACATTTACTGACTACTGAGGTATGCATACCTTCACCATGGCTATGTGTTCCATCCCATCAATAAGAGATCTATAGCAACAGGATTTAAACGAACCCCATTGTAACTGTAATGGTGTAACACAAACACACTCTACCAATCTGTCTCTCTTTCTCCTATATCTGCAAATGAGAATGTTCACAGCTTAGAATTACAATGCAAGAAGACTACCATAAAAAAAATGCATCCAAGTACAACCATCCATCAATTGCAGCTTTTATTTTACAAAAGAAAAGAAAAGTTCGCAATATGGGCCTGCACCTACAATGAAACATACATTTAACACAAATATACGAAATGGCCATAAAATGGGCTGTTTTACTTATCATTTATCATAAAACAGTTAGGATCCTAGGATCCAATATATAATAATCAGACTGTCTAAATCAATGAAGAATGTTTTGTCCTTGAAAAAGAAGAACCGCCACTCGAATATGTCAAGACAAAGCTAACCTTATCAGGTCTGCGATTGATATTATCTTCAGGTTCTCCCTCTTAGCAAATTGTTGCAGTTTCGGTAACAAAGCCATGGAGCCATCATCATCATCAACAATTTCACAAAGAACTGCAACAGGAGGTAACCCAGCTAACATGGCAAGGTCCACCAATGCTTCAGTATGTCCAGCCCTTTTTAACACACCACCTTCTCTGTATTTAAGAGGAAAAATATGTCCTGGCCGGTTGAAGTCCTCAGGTTTGGAATTAGGAGACGCAAGTGCCAGTATTGTGTTTGCCCGATCGTTTGCTGAAACCCCAGTTGTTGTTCCCTCCTTGGCATCCTAAAATAGATATGTTTAGCAGCAAAAATTAGAAATGGAGGATAAAGGACAAAATGCAATCAAGGTGTTAAGCGCAAAATACTTTCTTTCAAAACCTGATAATTTTAGTTTATACTTCCCAAAGTACAATTAGCACAGCTTGCACTCTTTTCTTGTTAATACAAACTTATGCAAGTGTTCTTATTCTACAAAAAAGAAAAGGCTAAAAAGGAAAAAGCCGTACCACTGAAACAGTGAAGGCAGTTCGCAGTTTCTTTTCATTTTCCTTTGTCGTCACCATAAGAGGAAGTTGTAGCCTTTCCAGATCCTCTTCTTTCATGCTGACACAAACAATCCCGGTGCCATGCCTCACTATAAAAGCCATAGCCTCAGGTGTGACCTTTGATGCTGCCATTATAAGATCACCTTAATTCTCTCTATCCTCATCATCCACAACAATGACACACTGCAACATAAACTCAGTTAGAAATTCATAGATGTACTGGAATGACTGGCATAACCACACAAATATCAATAAATGCAAATTTGGCAATCAGGACATACTTTTCCTTGACGAATGTCCTCAATAGCTTCAGGTATAGATGAGAAACCCTCTGTAGGGAAGTCTAGGTCAAGCTCATCGTCATCAGCAGAAAAACCATCAACAACAGGAGCCATATCAGCTGCAATGGTCCCAAGTGCAACAGCATCTGCTTGAACCGCATTAGATGGGTTGGCCTTCCCATTTATAATAACATTCTCTGATGAACCACCCACAGCATGAGATATATGGAACTTTCTGAGTCGACGGGTATTTTCCAAGCAAATTGATCCGATTGTCCTTTGTTAGTCGCTGAATTCTCACTCTTGATAGTAGGAGAATTCTTACTCTCATCGAGAGAGGATGACACTAGGAGTTGGGGTAATTTTCTTGTCTATTTCTCACACAAGCTCACACAAATGCCATACCAACCTGAGGGGTTGGGGTTACATATTTATAGGCTGCTAGCCAGCCAAGCATATGCCAAGATGCTAGTCTAAGATGCTAGTCTAAGATGTTAATATGCTGTCCTAGCTAAGATGCTGTCCTGTCCTAGCTAAGATGCTGTCCTCTAGTCTAAGATGCTGTCCTCTAAGATGCTGTCCTGCTGTCCTCTAGTCTAAGATGCTGTCCTAAAAGCAGAAAAACAGCCACAAGGACCATGTGAGCAGTACAGCCCCACAAAGACCACACATGAGACTTATCCATCATCCTTAAACTGTTTGATGTAGAACTTGGTAAAAGCGAAGCATCACAACACAACCTAGAAGTCCTGTAGTGACCATAGATGTTGTTTAGCCATGAAAAGTGTTTTCCACTACATGAGTCAATTTAAAAGGACAAAATTAATAATGAAACAAGCAATTATTCCCAAGAAACCGGAGGCCACTGCTGTAGATGCTTTCAGGCCGATAGGTTTGCAAAATTGCAGCATCAAAATTATTGCCAAGGCTCTGACAAGAAGACTTCAGAAAGAAATTGGAAAGCTAATTGATCTCAACCAATCAGGCTTCCTCAAAGGGCGGTCTATTTCTGAGACATTCGTTTTTGCGGCTGAATTGGTACAAACCTGCAAGAAGAGGAAGCTGCCAGCTTTGGTTCTGAAACTAGACTTTGCAAAGGTCTTCGACACAGTAAATTGGGTTGGGCTGGATCTTGTTTTGCAAGCCCAGGGCTTCTCTGTCAAGTGGAGGAATTGGATTCAGTCTATTCTGTCTTCTTCCAGATCTGCTGTGCTCGTAAATGGTTGCCCGGGCCCATGGATCTCTTGTAAACAGGGACTCCGACAGGGAGACCCGTTGTCACCATATCTATTCCTTCTTGTTGCCGACACCCTTCAAGCTCTGATCAAGAAATATGCACAAGAAATCAAACACCCGATAGATAGCTCAGCCCATTGCGCCATGCTTCAGTATGCCGATGACATGCCTATTGTCATCAAGGGAGAACTCCGTGGACTGACAATCCATTTTGCGGCAGCAACTGGACTGACAATCAACTACAACAAAACACAGTAGTGCCCATCCATCTGGATGAAAACTTGCTTCAGCAGTGCATTGGTGTTCCTGGGTGCAGACAGGAATCTTTCCCCCAGAACTATCTGAGCTTACCACTATCCTCAACAAAACTTCCAGTATCGCATTCTCAACAAAGCCTCAATTGAAAGCGCAATATAAACACTGCTGATTTCAAATGTAAATTCTTTCCCAGAACCTTTCCTATCATGTAAGCCAAAAGGCCAAAAACTTAACAAGCAATGAAATCAGGTGGGGAGTAACACCCCCATCCTGAAAGTAAAAAAAAAATAGTTTTTTTTTTGTATAAATGGTAAATAATGGGGGAATTGCATTTTCCCTCACGCAAGTGTGAAATTGGGTAAGAGAAACAAAAACAGCTAGTGAGCTATTTATCCATGGTCTTTACTCGTCTACTTCTCGTTCTAAAGAGAAGATTGTTTTAGAGATCAAGGTCTCTTAGCTCAGCACAGGAATACTCATCTTATGCACCCAACAACACAAGGCATATGATGGTAGGATAGGTAGGAAGATAATAATACAAAATGCACAAATCCACCAATCCATCCTAGAAATAGGACCAATCTTACAGTCTTAACAGATCTAAGACACTAAGGCTAAAACAAAACATACCTGTACCTTATATTGGATACCTGATAACTGACTCACCGATATCAAAATCCATACCCGTATTAGGGTTATATTGGATACCTGATAACTGACTCACCAATACCAAAATTCATTACTCGTATTAGGGTTACTACTGTTCAGAAGTGAGTACGGCCATACCGGCCCTAAGATTTTTTTTCTTCCTATATACATATACCCTTAACTGCATTTTCCGCAAGAGACTCCATCGTCTGATGCCTGTTCAATGCAAAATTAAGCGAAGTCGGAAGGATTGAGGGACTCGCCGAGCGCACGACGCCGAGGACGGAGGCGCGATTGAGGCCATTTTTTTCGGTGAGCGAAACCTTCCTATTCGCCGCGAAATTCCGCACCCGCGCCAGGAATTCGTGGCGAGTGGCGAAGCGAGCCGCGGCGTACTGCGAAACTCCGCTCGCGCTGCGCGGGGGCCGGGGGGAGGGGGTGCGGCCGAGGAGGATGGGTAGAGACGTCATTCCAGAAAGGCGACTCCGCTCGCGCTGCGCGGGTGGGGAAGGAAGCTGAGGTGGATGGGTAGAGACGTCACTTCGAGAAAGGCGGTAGATAGGATCGAGTCTTTTTTTTTTCCCCTTTGACGAGACTAGGTAGCGTGTTCGTACGTTGCTACGAAACAACTAAATTTTTTGTATTAAAATACACGGATCGTACGATAAGATAACAAGATGGTATTAGACCTAGAAAATTGACACAGGACATGTTAGGTAAATAATAAAATAATAATAACACAACATGTGTTTCGTGTTATAACCATTGGTTGGTTTTAAAAGTACAAGATGGTATTAGATTAGGAATATATACTCACTTTTAACCAAGGGATTATTGGAGATTCATTGTGCATTCCACTGTTACATCTAAAAAAACAGAGATCTTTAGAAGGAAAACGATAGGACAAAAAAATCTTATCATGGTGACAACAAGAGGCCATCTGTGTACATCTAATGGTTTGACGATGATGGAGGCCATCTGTGTACATCTAATGGTCTGACGATGATGGATTCCTCAAACACTAACGCATTTACTATCCAGCAGTACTGTGTACATCTCTTCAATAAACATGAATATTACTAACAAAGGGTTTGGCGAGGAGGGGGGAGCAGGAGTTCCATGTATCGCCCATGTTTACCTCATGAAAAAGTCGTGCCCTGCACTCGAATCTGAATCAAAGCTCGACGGGATGCATCCTGCACTGGAACCATCAAATCGAATCAAGAAGGGGGAGGGAAAGTGAAGGGGAATGACAAGAAGATGATATGGAGGAGATGGAGACGGGATCTAGAGGAGGAGCACCTGGATCTGCAACCGGCGTTCAAGGAGCACACGCGGGAACGGCGACAACGGCGCTGTTTCTTTCTTTCGCACGACAGGAGACTCGCTCGGCATAGGCACGGAAAGCATGGGAGGCCGCTTGGGATCCACTGCTGCCGACTTATTGGGGATCGGAGAAGCCTGCATGGGACCTCCCGTGCCCCCATGCAGGTGCGGGCGTCGTGCCCGTGCCCTCGCGCGCGCGAGAGAGATGGAGAGCGAGTACGTCGAGGAGCAACACACGGAGCCACCGAGAAGACTAGACAGGGGTTCCCCAACTCTACGCAGCCGCCGGTGGCGCGCCCAGATGTGGGCAGGCGCGGGCGACGATGGTGCGCGTGCGGCAGCGGCGCGGCCTGCTGCGGGCGGGCACAGGAGCAGGGTGGGCGTTTCTTTCCTTAGGGAGACGGGTGTAGGGTGCGCGGAGGAAGATCACACGGGCGGCAGGTAGGACGATGGACGAATGTCGTACCAAAAAATATCAACGCTTCGTTTTTTTAGTTATAGGAGAAAAGAAGAGAGGGTACAAAGCGAAAGCGCCATGGCGAACTATGGGCCGTAAGGTCGCTAGAGGCTGCGAACGTTCCGCTCTGGTAGGCCTGCTAATGCTATCCATAAGGGGTAATGCTATCCATATAAGTCCCCGCGCAGACTGTCCATGCTGGTCCAACATAACAGCCCATAGACTGAGAATCCGACATTATTAGCCCATAAAGTGAGAATCCGGCGGCCTACGTGTCCTTGGTTTGGCATGGAGCAGTTGACACTTTTTTTCTTTTTGATTTGATCTCACACGGCACGGGTTGACACTCGACAGGTTGTAGTCTAGAAATTTGTTCAGTTCAAGCCTAAAAGTCCTCGCTAGAACCGTCCCACATATCGAGCTCTGGCTTTGTATCTTTTGAGTGTGAAGAAAATTAGAATAAAATTTTTTGCCACAACATTTCTTGGAATTTATGTTTTTTTAAGAATTTTACGGTACAACGTATCCGACATAGAAGAGCGGCCCTGGTGCAAGCGGTAGAGTCTTACCGCCTGTGACCGAAAGGTCCGGGGTTTGAGTCGTGATCTCCTCGCATTGCACAGGAGAGGACAAGGCTTGCCACTAACATCCTTCCCCAGACCCCGCACAGAGTAGGAGCTCTCTGCACTGGATACATCCTTTTTTTAACGTAACTGACACAACAAAGACCGTAGCTTTTAGACTTAGCTTGGCGGTCTTACACCAAACCTTTTTTTAGTTGGTTTGCCATCACATCCACCAAATCATGGGGTGAAATTACGATGGAGTGATAGAAGGTTTATTGATATTTGGGCTTCATAAGATAGTCAGCCTATGTTTAGTTGTATTTGAGCACTGACCACCAATTGCTCAACAACACACTACAAACACGATAATAGTGGTGTCGACATCTATACTACATTGAACATATGTTCAACTGTGATCCACTTCTCTTGCTTGCAAGATACTTCGCCACCATCAACATGCACCTCAACCACTGCTTTTAATAACTGTATCGATTGCTAGTTGAGGCACACTCTAACTATTACGACACACCAGCTATTCGACAAAACGCCTATTTCATGTGAATGCTTGTCCAACTAACCTCTCACACTCGTGGCCACGGTCGTGCACTAGTTGGTAGCGTCGGAACAAGCTCATGTGTGCAATGGCAAGCATCTCTACATTGTCATCAGTGCATAAAACCCTAGGCTGAGAGCAATGATAGGGTGCCCTAGCACGAAGCCGCGAACACCTCAAGCCATGCCACCAAGAATCGTAGACACAACGAAGATGAGATGGGCATTTAAGTAGAGCAAGAATTCACCGCGCGTGGCTTGGTCCTTGAGGACGTCCACCATTGCTTGGAAAAGATGGCTACCAGCTCTTTCCTTGGCAGCTATGGTAGTATCAACGAGTTTCATTCGTTGAACTTTGTGGTGCAAACCGATTCCACAAGCACAACTTGGAGCTAGAGCATGAGTATGAGAGGAGGAGAAAGCCGACGACGATGGTAAATGATCATTGAGAATGGTATGATGTTTGAGAGATGAAATGAGTGGTAAGTTCACCTCTAGCAGTACAAGCAACAAAGTATAATTATAATAATATCCACGAAACCAAAACAATAGCAAATGACACAAGTTAGCAACCAGACATGAATTTGACAACGACAGTCTAATGTTGTACTTACACATACCTTCTAATGTTGTACTTACACATACCTCATTCGTCTCTTTTTAGTTGTCATTCTCGTTTTTCGAAAAGTCAAACGTTCTCAACTTTAACTGATTATACATAAAAACATTAATGTTTATGGTACATAATTAATATAATTATATAGACCATTCAATTTATTTTTATAACAAACTTGTTTGAAGGTATAAATGTTGTTAATATTTTTTATGAACTTGATTAATTTTTAAGAAGTCTGATTGACGTAAATAGCATAGCGACACCGAGGAACCTATGACGGAGCATGCAGAGACGGTGAGCGCGAGATATATGACGTGGCCACTGATGCACGTCCACGTCCTAACCATTACCGTAGATTCCGCCCAAAATCAACATCTGAACCACACAGCCAGACGTGACGATCCCAATCTACTTTCACACTGCCCGTGGGGCCCAGGCCGATTCCTGAAACAAAACCTGTGATGATCTGTCAAACAGAAAGGTCACGGAATTCACAACAGGAGATTCGCACATACAGTAGAGAAACTGACATTGTGGTCCCACTAGGACACTGTCCCCAGCTGTCAGGAGCACCCTGACAGATCACGCCTCTCCAGCCTTCCCGTTTTTTTTTTTATAAAAACAAAGCAAACAAAGACAAATCTTAGCTGTTGCTCTCCGACGACTGCAGCCACCACTGCCCATCCCGCTGCCTCTTCCCGCTCGCCGCCGCCGCCGCCGCCGCCGCCTATGGCGAGCCTCCGGCTCGCCGTCACCCACTGCCCGGCTCTCCCTCTCCCGACCCCCCATAGCCACCTTCGCCGCCGCCATCTGCACCTCCACCCCTACCCCAATCCCTTCTCCCTCTCACCCCGCATCTCCTCCCACCTCTCACCTATCCCTCGCCGCCACCTGCCCCCGCTCCTCGCCTCCGCATCGGCCTCTCAAGCGGCAACCAAGCCGCCGCAGCCGGCGGCATCGGGCGGTGCTAAGCCGCTGCCCCTCTTCATCTCGCTTGCCGCCGGCCTCGCCGTCCGCTTCCTCGTGCCGCGGCCGGCCGAGGTAACCCCGGAGGCATGGCAGCTCCTCTCCATCTTCCTCTCCACCATCGCGGGGCTCGTCCTCGGCCCGCTCCCCGTCGGCGCGTGGGCGTTCCTCGGTCTCACCGCCACCGTCGCCACACGCACGCTACCCTTCACCGCCGCGTTCGGGGCGTTCACTAACGAGGTCATCTGGCTCATCGTCATCTCCTTCTTCTTCGCGCGCGGCTTCGTCAAGACCGGCCTCGGCGACCGCGTCGCCACCTACTTCGTCAAATGGCTGGGGCGCAGCACTTTGGGCCTATCCTATGGGCTTGCCATCAGCGAGGCTCTCATCTCGCCTGCCATGCCTAGCACCACGGCCAGGGCAGGAGGGGTTTTCCTTCCCATCGTCAAGTCGCTGTCGCTCTCGTCGGGAAGCAAGCCCAACGACCCATCGGCGAAGAAACTCGGCTCTTATCTTGTGCAATCGCAGCTACAGGTAATAAACGCTGCGCTTGAATGCTGGATGATGCAGATGCATGCAGGTTTTATATTAAGATGTTAATAGTCTGATGAATCCCGCTGTTATATCAGATATTCGTGAATGTGAATTGTTTTTATTTTCCCTTTTTTACTATAATCTGTCGTTTCTTTGTCTACCGCACCCTGCATTCGTGACTACTCTCAATGTGTTTATAGGAGGGAGCGATGGTAATTTTCTTGATCTGTAAGGTTCTTAATATTTGTGCGCACTCAAACTAAGTAAGCATTATGATTTGACGCGAAGGGTGCACTTGTAAGGATAATTTTGATGTGCTAAGATACAACCATAATTAATCAATGCAGCAATGAGATATCCATTTGTTTTAGCACAAACTAATTGTGGGTACAGATATTTTTTCTTTGAACAAATTGAAATCTGACATTTGAATTGGAAATTAGCCTCAACCTGCAAGTGTTCTTATATGTTGTTTCTGTTTATGTGGACTTGTGTCCTCTGTAGTTGTACTAGTTATGCTTTCGCTTCTTAATCATAGTGCATTTTAGACATTGATCAATGAATTTACTGTGCTGGTTTCTGATGCTTGATTGACAGGCATCTGCCAACTCCAGTGCTCTCTTCTTGACAGCGGCTGCACAGAACCTGTTGTGTCTGAAGTTAGCAGAGGAGATTGGTGTTAATATTGGAAACCCATGGATTACTTGGTTCAAGGTTGCTAGCGTACCAGCACTTCTTGGGCTTTTAGTGACTCCTTATTTGATTTACAAAATATTCCCCCCAGAAATAAAGGACACTCCTGAAGCCCCAGCATTAGCTGCCGAAAAGCTAAGGTTAATGGGTCCGGTAACAAAAAATGAATGGGTCATGATTGCAACGATGCTTCTTGCAGTATCACTATGGATTTTTGGGTAAGATCTTTTTTAAAGAGGATTTTCCCCATGAATTGACTTGCAATCTGAAGCTAAACTTTCAGTAACTGAACTTTTGTATTTAGTTTCACCATTTACACTGTTCTTGGAATCATGCAAGTAAGTATATATACACACAGCACAAGAGCACAAGTATCTTTCTTGACTGGTGCTTGCTGTAGTAGTCATTGTGATAATGTTCACATCACAGAACACTGAGCAGCACTCGATTGGTGTAAGCAGCATTGTTCTGTGTGTTTTCCCCTGAAAAGTTCCTTTATTAGTCTGTGGTTCCACTCATGATTGTGGAGACAGCTAAAATATTCTTTTTTTCTTTATGGCCAAGAGTCAATATGGTTCAAAAGTATTCAGTTTTCCTTTTTTTATTGATGAGGAACAAAAAAGGCTTATCCTGTTTCTGATATTGCAGGGAAGCTATTGGCGTATCCAGCGTTGTTGCTGCAATGATTGGACTCTCAATACTTCTTCTGCTTGGAGTGCTGAACTGGGAGGATTGTTTGAATGAGAAGTCTGCATGGGACACCCTAGCTTGGTTTGCTATTTTAGTTGGTTTGGCTGGGCAGCTTACTACCCTCGGGATTGTGTCCTGGATGTCGAATTGTGTTGCCAAGGTTCTTCAATCTTTCTCATTGAGCTGGCCTGCAGCATTTGGTGTTCTTCAGGCCTCATACTTCTTTATTCACTATATATTTGCAAGCCAAACTGCACATGTTGGAGCTTTATACTCGGCATTTCTTGCCATGCATTTAGCAGCTGGTGTGCCAGCTGTAATGTCGGCACTTGCTTTGGCGTACAATGCAAACCTCTTTGGAGCACTAACACACTATAGCAGCGGGCAATCTGCAGTATACTTTGGAGGTAATTGTGCTTTTCCACCTCTTTTGTTGAATACATATTTTCCAAGTTTGCTTGCAATCCACCGCGTTGGATTGGTACCATTCCATACTTATTTCGAGCCTGGTTCAATACCGATTTATAGAGTAGTTAATTAACTGGTTAGCTTCGACTGGTACTGCAATGTGTAGAACACATTTTGATGCACCATTTTTGTTCTTTTTGTCGATTCAATTTACTAAATCCTTCTCTAGCATCAATTTCTATTTCGCTAGGTAGGACGGTGTATTTGATCCTGAAAACTACTTTCATATTTGTGCACACAACAAAATGATAATTCAAATGGAGCCTTATAATGAAATGAAAGCACAAGCTGCTGCGCATAGACATATGAATGGAGAAAATTCTTTGCTTGTTTTATTAGTTAGGTCATCCCTATAAGGGCTTTTAATATTTGTTCTCTGCTGAGTAACCTGGTGTTTTCCTTGTGCAGCGGGGTATGTTGACCTTCCAGATGTATTCAAACTGGGTTTTATTACAGCCGCACTCAATGCTGTAATTTGGGGAGTTTCTGGTGCATTGTGGTGGAAATTTTTGGGTCTTTATTGAGTCTTGGGGCAGTGTAAGTACATGAAAATGGTGCCATATATTAAACAAGTAACTCATCATCCACCATCGGAAGTGGGGGTTCGTTTTTCTTCTGAGGTGCCTATGAATGTATAATAACAGAGGAACGATCATCTTTAGAAAGTTTTTGAGCATGATCAACCTAGAAAGTAGATGGGTTTTCGTAGGTTGTTAAGACCGTCCTATATATCCTTTGATTTGATTGATGTACCATCATATCTCCCCCCCTCAAGGGAAATAAATGCATGAGTGACTTGAATTTTGATGACCCAAATCTTGTCTTATATCAAATCCTTGAAGATTAAGTGCATGAATGAATGAATATTGATTGAGGCGTCAAATCTTGTGTTTTGAGGCCGCGACAGCCTGCTTCCCCAAGCCTGCTATTTGCCTGCCTGTATACTTGAACAGAGGCGCAGTGTTGCCTGTTGAGGACCACATTACTCCCCCACCACCCTGAACGTCTGTACAAAAACTGTGCAGAACTGTAGTTATGTACAGCAGTACAGCTGATGAAAGGGCATGTGCTAATGCTTGACCATTTAACATCAATACTTGACGGAGCATTTGGCATCTATACTCGACGGAGGATTAAAAGGGCAAGGTTATGAGGTGGCTGTTGCTCCTGGCCTGGGTTGCAACACTTTGGATCTGCAGCCTGTTCGTTTGGCTATGGCTTGTCGTAAACGATCGTAAATTTCTAGTCGGAACAGTATTTTTCTCTCACACAAACCAGCCAGCAGTACTTCTTCACGAACCAGCAACGATACGAACCAGCTAACCGAACAGGCTGCTGGACTGCCAGTCAGTCAGGCAGCGTTTGTCAAATTTCTTGGTTGCTCAAGGCTGACGTTTCTTAATACCACATACCATGGCGTAATCTTTTCCTGGCCGGACGAGCTTTGTACAACAATTTAGGTTTGTGCCTGTAGTACATAGCAAGCGCTTTATGTTTCCTCAAAAAATTAAAAAAAACAAGCGCTTTATGTACGTGATGTCGGAGTCCAGCAGGCGGACCCGACCCGGACAAGCTCAAGCTCCCCCAGGAGGAGGACAGGACTCCAGGAGGCAGGTGAGTTTGCTCTTTCCCTTCCTTGCTCTGCCTCCCGCCTCCGCCGTCGGGGAAGCGTCTTCCGTTCCGCCCTCTGCCGCGCAGTCGCTGGTCCTCTAGTGTGCTCCTCTTCCGTTCCGCATCCATCATTTGTCCATGCGTCCCACGCTGCCTGGAGGATACCAACGCCTGGGGTTGGGGCGCGGTTTAGGTGAGGACGCCTCGCCATGGCCTGGGGAGGGTCGAGGGGGTGTGGCCGGGCGCCGCCGCCGGGGCGGGCGGAATGGCGGATACCGCCACGCCGGTGAGGCGGTGACGAACTGAGTTCTTTTTTTTTCTTTTCTTTTGAGCTTTTGATTGACGACGAACCAGGTGGCGGCGCCGCACCGAGCTGGGTGGGTCAGCCCAATGGGTATTGGGTGCACCGGGCTGAATATTTTGGATGCTGTCGGCCCACTAAAACATCGTTTGCCTGCTTTATATATATACAGAAAAAAAAACATCGTTTGCCAACCAGCTAGGCATCCCATCCGCTTCAACTTTAACTTACGGTAATCCTCCCCTCTTGCCATCTTCCTCCTCTTAGCTCCAAGGCGGCGGCGGCGGCGGATCCTCCTCCACCACCACGGCACCACGCTCATGGAAGCGGATCCGCAGGATCCTCAACCACGGCGGCGGGCCGACGCCACCTGCGACTCCCGATCATGGTGTTGGTCGATCGCCAGGTCAGAATCAACAATCAAGTCGAAGAATTCATCCCACAATCAGGAGGTCTTTCAAGGGATAATAAGGACATTGAGCTTCTTCTCCGCAAGAGATACTCCAGCAGCAGCAGACGAGAGAAGGAGGTGGCCGTCGGTGAAGAGATGACCCGGTACCGGGCGGATGTCGAGGGGCCGGCGTTCATGGTTCCCTCGGGCCCCAGCGGCGTGCGCAAGGAGTGGCCGGAGTGGGTGGATTTCTTGTTGGACCATGACGACGAAGTTGCCTACTTCCTTGGCGTGTTGGACGGCACCGAGCCTTGCCCTCCCCAGGTCGCCGACCCCTGCGACGGCGTCACTTCCCTGTCCCTCAACATCGCTCGGCCACTTCCCCAACCGTCACGGGCGCACTCACCCCGACTCCGCCTTCATCGTCGGCTGCCACAAGAACTTGCTCCTTCTCTGCCTCGGCAGCAAGGATGGATTCTACATGGTTTACAATACCAAGGCCAACTCCATCGCCGTCGTCCCGCGGCAGATTTGCTGCTACTCGACCCACTTCCCCATAGCACGGGCCCGATGGGAGTTCAGGGGGCTCGCCGTCCTACGCCTCTCCTCCAGCGAGGAGCACGATGACTACCTCCTCGCCGAGCTCCTCTTTCGCACGGAAGACCGGAGCGGCCTGGACCCCGCAAACAAGGGCCTTGGTGAGTTTTGCGATTTTTTTTTTTTTTGAAAAGGATACGGTAGCACTCTCGTTATTATTTGGTAATTAGTGTATATATCATAATTTAATTAGGCTTAAAAGATTCGTCTCGTGAATTTCGTCTAAACTGTGTAATTAATTTTATTTTTATTTATATTTAATATTTCATGCATGCGTTCAAAGATTCGATATGACGAGAAATCTTGAAAAATTTTGTAAAATTTTGGTAACTCAACAGCCACGAGGCCACTCTCTTCTCGTGGCAGTCGCTCGGTGCCTCCGGCCAGCTTGTTCGTCGCCCCATCTGCAGCCCTTACATCTGCCTCACCCCTGACAAGGTCCCTGCCTTCCCTGAAGACTTGGCCGCGCACGCCATGGAGGTGGAGCCCCCCCTCCCCACCGACAAAGACCACCACCTCTCCTTCCGTGCAGACATGACGTTGGCAGCTGGAGTTCGGCTTATCCTATATTCAGCTTGTTCGGCTTATTTTTTTAGTCGAAATAATATTTTTCTCTCACAACAATTTAACCAGAACAGTGTTTTTCAGACAGTTTCAGTTAAAATTCTGCCAGCCGAACGGGCTATAAGCGGCAGCAACCGTTCCACTTCATCCCGTTGCCTCCCGAGGCATATGACGTGGAACCCTTTTAGCAACCCGCAGGAGTACCGCTCCATGTGCTGCATCAAAGGTGCGGCCTTGGGGCTTGTTCGTCAGGACCGAAAAATAAGCTAAAATATTGTTCCCGCTGATTGTTGTGAAAGAAAAATACTGTTCTGTCTGAAAACATTGTTCGCGTGAACAGTGAGAGTGTGACTGCGCTGGCAGCCCAGCCCTAGCCGGCCAGCCGGCCGAACACAGCCTTGAAATTCGTCTCGGGCGTTGTTTAGTTCCTTCCTCGAAGTTTATACCTTATCCCATCGAATGTTTAATATATGCATAAGTATTAAATACTCCCTCCGTACTCGTAAAGGAAGACGTTTAGGACATGATTGTGCTTACCAATGAGTGATTAATTAGAGGTATTTTTCTATGTCTATCCCTATTTAAAAACGGTTGCGGGTGCATTCAATACGAGAAACAACATGGTTCAGACGGCTAGTGCAGCGAGCGTTGGCCCTGAGGACCCAGGTTTGAAACCTGGCGGGCGCCTTTTTTTGTTACGATTTTGCATGGCGCTGTTTTGGCCCTGCGTGTTGCGTGCGGTGTGGCTGCATGGATTGCGGATTTGAATCTCCTGGGCGTGCTGCGCGCGCTGAGCCGCTTGAGCGCGTTTGTGCTCGCGTTTGTGCACTGTTTGGCCCTGCGTGTCGCGTGCGGTGTGGCTGCATGGCGCGCGGTTTTGAATCTGCTGGGTGTGCTGCGCGCTGAGCCGCTTGAGTGCTCGCGTTTGTGCACTGTTTGGCCCTGCGTGTCGCGTGCGGTGTGGCTGCATGGCGCGCGTTTTTGAATTTGCTGGGCGTGCTGCGCGCGCTGAGCCGCTTGAGCGCATTTGTGCTCGCGTTTCTGGGCGAGTCCGGCGCCATGTTTTCGTTGGTTTTTCACATGCAAACGAATTTTTACGGTGGCGCCACGGATTCTAATTTTTGCGCTCGATAGCTCCGACGTTCCATGTTCCACCGTGCCTATTTTAACGGAGTCTTTCCCCCGGCCTGAGCTCTTTCCATTACCGCTTCATCTCCTCACTTTCCCTCTCTTCTCTTCACTACCGCATGCAATGGCTGATCCTAGAGTTGCTGCCTTTGATCTGAACGTTCGCTTAGAAAAAGATGACAACGACAATCTTGCCTTCGATCTCAACGAGCCAATATTGGAGTCCGGCAACGACAATGGTAATCACCTCTCTTGTTTGAGTTTGTTGTTTCCCTCAAGCGCCATCTTTTCTGATTTTTTGTTTCATTTTTGGACAGGATTTGATTTGAACTTGCCATTAGATGAATATGGTGCGGTTGACTTTGATTACATACAAAACCTCGCTGGTAATTTTTTTCAGTTTGTTCTTTCCTTTTTTTTTGATTATTTTTTATGTAATCCGTGGCTAACAAGAAGAATGTTCTTTTTTTTTAATAGAACAAGATGTTGAGGTTCCCGTTGAAGTACACCATAGAAGGAAGGACATGACAGAAAAAGTCACAAGACAAGTGTACCAAGCATTGTTGGCTAGAAGCAAGAATGGGACACTAGGCAAGAAGGATACAAGAATTGTTGCTGATCAATTTGAGTGCACATTCGGTCAATTCAGCGCTTATGGAAGCGAGGTAAACACCAACTTGCTCATAACATTCCTGTTGTGGTTGCAAGTAAAAAGAAGGGTAGATGTGGCCGCAAGGCAGTCCCTCTTGATTTGGAACAATTGCGCAACATTCCTCTCAAACAAAGAATGACCATAGAAGATGTGTCTAGTAAACTTGGTATGAGCAAAGCTAGGATACAAAGGTATTTGGAGAAAGGTTTGCTTTGGCGTCACTCTAGTAGCATCAAACCATACCTCACAGATGCTAACAAGAAGACTAGGTTGAAGTGGTGTGTTGACATGATTGAGCAGGGTTTGCTTGGTGATCCAAGATTTAAGGGTTTTTTTGATTTTGTGTTCATTGATGAAAAATGGTTCTACCTCTCTAAAAAATCTGAAAAATATTACTTGCTACCCGAGGAAGACGAACCACATCGTACTTGTAAAAACAAGAATTACATCCCTAGGCTAATGTTCTTGTGTGTTTGTGTTCGGCCAAGGTTTAGGAATGGAGAATGTGTTTTTGATGGAAAAATATGTTGTTTTCCACTTGTCACTTATGAGCATGCTGTTAGAAGAAGTCACAATCGTCTTTGTGGAGAACAAGTAATTAAGCCAATTACTTCAATCACAAGAGAGGTGATTAGAGATTTCATGGTAAACAATGTGCTGACTGCCATTCGAGCCAAATGGCCAAGAGAAGATGTGAACAAGACAATTTTCATACAACAAGATAATGCACCTTCCCATTTAAAAGTGGATGATCCTATTTTTTGTGAGGCTGCTAAGCAAGAAGGGTTTGACATTCACCTCATTTGTCAACCACCCATTTCTCCGGATTTTAACATTTTAGACTTGGGGTTTTTTTCGAGCTATTCAATACAAGAAGGATACAAAAACAATAAAAGATCTAGTTCCAGCAGTCCAACAGGTAAATTGATCAATTGTTCACTTGTTCCATTGTTTCTTGAACAACTAATATACTCATTGATTGAATTTTTGAACACATATTTTGTAGGCAGTCTTAAAGTACTCTCCATGGAAAGCAAACTGGATTTTTGTAACACTTCAGAGTGTTTGGAGGGAAGCCATGAAAGTTAAAGGGTGCAACAAGTTCAAGATTCCTCACATGCAAAAAGAAAAACTAGAGAAAGAAGATCGGCTGCCATTGCAAATCTCTTGTGAATCTTCCTTGCTAGCCGAAGCAATTGCTAGCCTTCCTGCAGCAAATTAGAAGAATAATATTAGAAGATGCAAGCATGTTAGTCTTTGCTGCATGCTAGCCGAAAGCAAGAATATTACTAGCAAATTAGTTTTTGCATGCCTGTTAGCCGAAAGCAAGAATGAGACATGTACCTTACTGTTCTTTCTTTGCATCTTGCTTCATCTTTGCTTCTTCCAACTTCTTCATATTGTAGATCTTGTCCAACTTCTTGATAACGTGCTCAGGAAGAAGTATTGTGTCACCATCCATTTGAAGCTTCTCCACATCAGGAATGTAGAGCTCACAATCAAATTTTTCTATGCCACCAAGTATCCATGCTGTGAGATCGTAGCCTCTGTGTACAATACCGCAACGTGCACACCTGCTAGCTTCGCGGCGAGCTTGGTAGCAGCCTTTGTCATCGTTGTCGGCATGGAACGTGCCGCATCGAGCGCACAGAGACTCTGCCATCACCTCGACAGAGTCCGGCGCCACGTCAACGGAGTCCGGCGCCATCTCGACCGAGTCCGGCGCCATCTCGACCGAGTCTGGCACCACGTCGACGGAGTCCGGTGCCATCTCGACCGAGTCCAGCGCCATATCCGAGGCCAGCGTCATCTCCGAGTCTAGCGTCATCTCTGAGTCCAGCGCCTCCTCCATGGCGCGAGCGACCTCCATGGCGCCGGACTCCATGGCGTGAGGAAGGAAGGGAGTAGACCGGCGAGTGGCGAGGAAGACGTGTGGCGAGCGGCGAGGAAGGAAGGCGCGGCGCGAGGGCGACGAAGACGTGCGGCGAGCGGCAAGGAAGGAAGGCGCGTGGCGAAGAAGGAAGGCGCGCGGTGCGAGGGCGACGAAGACGTGCTGTGGCGAGTGAAACGAAGAGGCGAGCGCGTGATTAATGCGGACAGAAGCCGAAACGCAGGGGCAATCGCGTCCAAATCCTCCCTCCGAGCGAGCAACGACTTGCTTTGAGAAAACGGGCCAACAGCCCAGGACGTCATCCTTTACGAGTACGGAGGGAGTATAGACTAAAAAATAACTAATTGTACAATTTGCGACTAATTTACGAGATGAATCTTTTAAGCCTAATTAGTTCATGATTTTATAATGTGATACTACAGTAACACATGTGTTAATGATGAATTAATTAGACTTAATAAATTTATCTCGTGGTTTATCGAAGAATTCTATAATTTGTTTTTTATTAGTCTCAATGAGAAGACATCCCCATGGCCGAGGTGGTGCTCATAAGACTGACTCTAATAACGAGAAGGCAAAACGACGACCCATTCCAGGATTTAGGGTGTGCACAGCAAATGGGTCACTGACCCAAAAACTTCGTTTTCCAACAGCCAGAAGGCAAATAAGGAGCCCCCCGAGGTCCGCCGTCTCCCTCCCCGCCGAGGTCCACTCGTCTCCCTCCCCGCCTCTCTGCATGCGCCGCCCGCCCCCCTCCCCGCTGACGAGCTTGCCGGAGAAGAGGGAGCCACTGCG